AGATTGCAAGTCTGGAATTTTTGTTTTGTTGGCAGTCAATATATGTGGTGCCCATTTACTCAGCTTCCAAGTTTTCCTATGCGATATAAATGTTAGCAAATGATTTCACCAGAAACCTTTCTTCAAAATCTTGACTTCTTTGAAGTGATAATATTGAAAACCCGCACGAACTTTTTGGTTATGTGATACTTGATTTGGTTATATGACTTTGTATTAATAGCATATTCTTTTAATTTTCATTATAGAGCATGGCAATATGAAATTTCCTGTTAATAAAACTGAACTAAATAATTTTGTTATCTTAAAAAAATATGAAAATGAAGTTATAATAGGTGGTAGGTAAGTATAAGTAAGTAGATGAAGAGTAATTAGTAGTCTAATACGAAAAAATATCAGTTTAATTATTTTTAAACGAACTTTTGTAGAAACAACATTTATAAAATGAATGTAGAAGAATTAAAACCAGAAAAAGTAAATTTGTTTTAATTATAATAATTTTTAACGTTTAGAAAAGGTAATTTTATACGATAATAATCGAAATTTGTAAATTTAAATTTTCTTTTACAGAATTTACATTGGCCTAGTAATAAAAATGACATAAATTTCTGTTTGATAAAAGGAAAATCAAAGGTAAATATTTTAAACTTATATTGAAAGTTTAAGTAATCGATACTTCTAATGTGTAATAATAATCGGCAATGAATACAATTATATATAATCAACCTAGACAAAATTTATTAATATAATAATAAATATAATATACTCGAGAATTTTATATATTTTAAATTATTAACGCAATTTATTTAGACCAGAGAGCCCTAAATTCGACCTATTATCGATTTCCCTTTTCCTTTTTTCCTAATACAATTAATAATAATAATAAATCTGGTAAGCCATTATTAATTCTTACACCATTTTCATAGAAAAGATATATTTAAAGTACAAATTTTTAACATCCCGAGCTTCATAAACGTTAAAATAATAATTTTTAATGAATTGTTTCTAATAAGTCTTCTATCAACTTCCAAAACGCCTGGGAATCGATGGAGACTACTTTGGGGATACCTGATTTAGGCTATAAACTGTTTTCTTTTTTTTTTCAAATATAATTTCATTGCTTTAGTATAAGATATTTATTGATTATATTTTATAATCGAAAATTTATTATAGGAAGAATGCCAAAATTATTTGCGGATTTATGGAACAATTTCAAAAAATAATATATTAGTCTGTGGCACTAATGCATTTCAACCGTTATGTAGAAAGTATCGAGAAACTGTAAGTGTTGAACATGTTTTATTTTATTGGTTACTTTCAGGATAATTATACGTTTCAATTTATTAAATATAAAAACACGCATTAGACTAGTAATAGATAAATTGTGACCTTCTAATTATTTTTGCGCTTATACAAGGAGTAATTTAATTTATATTTGTGTCCGTTGCCTGTCCGTCGTACGTTAATCTCAAGAACGGAGTTAGATAGATGAAAATCAATAAGACATATGGTAAACTCACGAATGGAGCCCTCGATTACTTGTATACGAACGTTCGGTTTAGACAGGAACTTTTCTCCAGAACTGACTTAGATAGATAATCGGCACGACTCGGTTGTTATTAGGTGAAGTATGATGTACAGGGACAAAAAGCACGAATAATATACATTTTTAGTACTTGACTGCTTACTTTTCTCTCAATTAATTGTATTTGAATTAGCACAAGGTTTCTGTTGAGAATAAATCACACTGGAATTCTGTTTTTGATGGAAAAAGTAATTTATTTTCTATAATTTAAAATGAATTTCGGGCTTAATACCTCTCTTCAGTCATATTTTATTAAACATATCGTCAAAAAATTATGTAAGAAATTACAGAATGACATCCCTACATTTTTTTAATTTAGGAAACCTTGAAACGTCGAGAAATGCATGAAAAATTTTTTGTATTTTTTATTTTTTCCCCGTATTTATGGATGTTAGTGTGTATGAGGGGGCACGATTTTCTTTACCTACTTTCAATCTTAATAACTCCTGTGCCTTTTGTCGAAAATTTCTGAAATTTTGTAGGGAGGTTTGTATATTAGGGGGATTAATGCTATTAAATTTTGGTGCTTAAAGATCAAAGGAGAGGAGAGAAAGGGGGATCGTGTTTCGTATCTCGAATAGGATCAGAATTAATAAAGACTTTACTCATTATTATTAGCATTTGTATTTTTTAAAATATATATAAAACTCATCCTTACCCTCAATATTAAGTGTTTTTGCCGGAAAAGTTACTCAACACTTTGCTGGATATTTTATAATACTGTCTTCTGTAATAATTTATTTAATTATTTAAGGAAAAATATTTCTTTAAATGAAAAAAAGTTACAGTATAACTAATTTAGTAATTTTAATAAAAAAAATTTAATTAATAGAATAAAATTACTGACATATAAAGAAATATTTTTCATTTTCGTTTGGAGAAAAAGTTTATCCGAAGAAAATGATATAATTAATTAAATATTTTAAAATATTGATAAGAAATAAGACAACACTGCATTATTTATATAGCGAATTTTTTAACATTTTAATTTACGTACAGTGTTGATTCAATTATCCTTCTACATGTAAAATAATCTGTTTAAGGTGTTTTCAAAGTTATCTTAAATTTTTTTTATTCAGTTCTTATTAATAAAATTTACGAAAATATTCAGTTTGTTTCCAGTGGCGCAAATAGGGATATACAAAGTGTGCCGACGTTCTATCAAACTAGATTTATATATTTAAAGTTTAAATTTAAAAAGAAAATAGAAACTGATTGCGATTTTTATCTCTGTAAAAAACATATATATGATGTAGATAGAGGTCCTTGGAACTATACAAAACCGAAGCTATGCCATATGTTATGGCATGGCTTAGTTTTTGTATAGTATAGCCTATACTTTTCGACCCAAACGTATTCGTTCCCAGATTCCCTAAAGCGATAGTCTAAGAGACAATAAGTATCTTAAAAAGTTAAATATCTCTAATTTCACAGGCTGTAAATGAATATTAATTCGAAATCCAGATTTTAAGAATATATTAATTTTATAATTNATTAATCCGTTATAGAACAACATTGTCGAATACTTCATGTTTTATCATCATATCCAAAGTTAATTCTCAGTATAAGTAAACCAACAACGAGTTGCTCAACTTTCCCGGCAATATTTAAAATTTTAGTGGCGCCATCTGTTATCATATTTTATTAAAAACATTTTTATATTTTCAACTATTATAAAATGGCAAAAAGCTTAATTTTGAGGGTTTTATAAAAAAATTATAAATGTTAATAACGAGTAAAAGAGTCATTAAGTCCGACCCTACTGGAGATAGACACACGACCTCCATTATTTCCCACCCCGTCGACCTTTAACAACCAAAATTTAATAGCATCAATCCCCTAATAAACAAACCTCCCTGCAAAATTTTAGAAATTTTCCACAAAAAACATGAAAGTTATTAAGCTTCAAACAGGGAAAACATAATCGTGCTCCCCGCACACACATCCATATATACAGAAATTATCCCCCGAATTATTTTGCATTTCTGGACGTTTTAAGATCACAAATAATAAAGAACGAACTTTTTATTGAATTTTTCCATATTTATTCGAAACTTATTTATGAAATTTTTGATAAATTTTAAAGCAATAAAAATTTTTTAACTCTAATAAAATTAGATCAATTAATTTTAAATCTTAAATTTAAATACTATATTACAGTATTTTAATCGAAGCGATATGAAAACTGGAAAAAAATAAATTTAATGCTGAAATATTATATTATTACTGTACTAAAATTAATCTTATTTTTTAAAAAAATGTTTTATAACTTTGAATTCGTAGTGTTTTAATAGCAATGGAGATATTTCCTTAGAAGAACAAGAGTTCCTTTATTCTTACATTCATCTTATGAATGAAGAAGTTCAATCCTTTATTGAAGAACCTGTATATAAAGACGTTTCTAAGTAAGTTTTTAATGTATCGTATTCACAATAATTATATATATATTTTGTTAATTTACTATTTACGATCTTTTTAAAATATTATATTTTCATAAAATTACTGTACACTGAACAGAAATTTCGTACAGGATACTTCAAAAAGCATTAACTCTAATATGAAGTAAATTGTTAAGCCAGATTTGTGCAGTTCACTGAATAATTTTCCATCATGTGCAAGAAGTAGAAAATTACTAAAAAGTGTTAAAATTATGTTTAACATTTAAAAGCAATTTTCTCTTCTCGTGTTGCTAATTATTTTGATTATTTTGATAATTATTATGCATGAAATGCCTATTTTATTACACTAAAACCACTTTTTTAAACTCCTTTTTTTCATTATAAATAATCGAATTTTACAATTTTTAAAAACCAAAATACAAAAAAAACCCCTGTTATTTAAGCATTATATTTTAATATTGAAGTTTTAATAAAATATTTTTTACTCTTATCGTCTTTTTTAGTTGTCGCCTCACTTCAATCAGTGTCGATCCTCAAGTAGAAACATTAAATGGGAAGAAATTCGATATTCTTTTCTTAGGAACAAGTTAGTTAAACATTCATTTTAATTTTTTAATCGAAAATCTATAGGCCTAATAAAAATTTTGTTTTTTTAATATAATATTTATTTTATCTTTTTTTTTTTCTTTTGTAAAGATTGTGGTAAAGTAGTAAAGGCCATTTATTTTATGGATAAGAAGATTAAAAGGATTATTGTTGAAATGATTCGGGTTGCTAAAAATAATATAATCATCACTGAACTTCTTGTACATAAAAATAAATTAATGATAATTACACCAAACGAAATTTATAGTATACCAAAGCAGAGATGTCAACAAAATGCTAAAACTTGTCGGTATGTTAATTTTTAAATTATGAAATAAATTTCAATTTTTTATTTCTATAAATCTTATTTATTTATTTACTTTTTAGCGATTGTGTTGGTTTACAAGATCCTTACTGTGCATGGGATGAATATTATTTATAGATTCAAAGTTTGTTACATCCTTTCATTATGACAAATTTGTATATTTTTTCTTTAGAGAGGAGTCTATTGAACACTCACAAAAGGTTGTTATTTTACATTGAAAGATTTTAAATAAATTCATAATTTATCTTTTTTATATATACAGGAGTAATTTAAAATTCATATTTTTAGAAGATTTATTCTAGAGTTGGCAGAGTTTGTACGAATGATAAAGGCTTTGGGTTAAATGAAATAACAAAGAGGTGGACTTCATTTTTGAAAACTCGTATTACATGTCACATGCCCGGAATATTTCCGTATTATTTTGATGAAATTTGTAAATAAAATAAATCTTTAAATTTATTTAATGAATTTCGATTAAAATTTTTAAAAATATCAATGTTGAAATTACAGACGCTGTTAGCGACATCGTAGAAAAAAGTATTAAAGGTAGAAAAGAAAAAATAGTATACGCTATATTCACTATTTCAAAGTGAGTATTTATTTATAAAATATTTTATAATAATTTCTTTTTATAAACGAAAAAAAAAACGAATAGATAAAATCTAAAATCCTTTTATTCTACGTATAACATATTTAAATATAGATTCGTGTTATAGCAAAGAACATTATACAAAATCTAAAGAATCTGCAACTATTCCCTTTGGGCGAATGTGTATACTGACTCTCTCAATTTCCGGTCGATCCCTAGACAATTCCCAATTTCCTTTTTAGATGTTAGAGCTTGGTGACCTCTCACACACACAACCTGTAATATAGAAGACCAAAACTGTTTATTAATCCAAATATTTTAATTTTATGACATAGCCTAACGATTTAAAAAATAATAAAATTCGAGAATAAAAATATTATCTTTTTAAGTTATTATCCTTTATTTAATTTATATCTGGTAATAATTTATTGTTTGTATCTCAGTTCTGGAATTTACGGATCCGCTGTTTGTGCTTTCCGTATGAGAGATATAGAAAAATCATTTGAAGGTGATTTTAAATTTCAACGAGATAGAGATTCTCTGTGGCTACCTTTACCAGCCAGTAAAATACCGAATCCTAGACCCGGAACAGTAAGTTATCTAACTAAATATTCTTATTTTAATGTTTAAAATTACAAGAAATAGAAAACTATGCAGAGAATACGAGAAAACATTTCGATATGTAATATTTTTATGTTATATATACTGTATATTATAAAAATAAAACATAAATATATTTTCAATCCTTAACTTTCAAACATATGACAGGAGCTGGTTTTTATGTAATGTATTCGAAATAAATACATTGCAATAATTATTATGATTTACAAAATTATTATATTTACATTTTTTACTTTTATATCATATTTTAAAATGTAGTTACTGTTTTATTGTTTTTGCTTCCTCTATTTTTATTTTGATAACAATTGATAGTGGTAATAATTCTTATTCATTGTTTCTCTGAAAATATGATTTAATAAACCATAACAGTAAATGGTCATTCATTAGATTACGAATCGTACAGTGTACGAAACGATGAACAGATTTTCGAAAAATTCTAGCGTTTATATAGCAGACTCCTGCTAATCCGACTGTCAAATAGACCTAGCGAAATTGTCCGAAAGACAATGCGATTTGATATTCCCCTAGAAGGATCGGTTTTTCCGGAGGGGGTCAATTCAGCGGGAGGAATATTAGTACAAATAGGAGTGGTCCTGAAGGTACAGTACATCGTTTGGCCTGGAGAATCCATTAAAATAAGGGATGGCAATCGAAAGGAGATTTTTCATCCAGACTGTCAACAGAGAACCAAGACCAAAGAAAGTACAGCAAGAATCTCGTCTCGACTTTTGAAAAGAAGAGCTTCCACCGGACTGTGAGAGGGAGTAAGAGAAAAGAACTAACCCCTAAGTTCGGGTCGCAAGGTGCCTTTCCGGCGAACCAGGGCCTTCAATCGTAAGCAAGAGGAGAACACCTGATCGAAACATCTCTGGATAGGATACATTTTGAACTTTACTCCGGCCATTCCTTGCATAGAGGAATTCCGGATTAGTGACTACTGAGTGTATAGGATTGAAGGCAATGAACGATATGGCCTGTCGTCGTAATTTCCTTAATGTAGATATTTATCCAAAACGTAGAAAAAAATTTTATATACTGTTTATAAAATTATTAAGCTAAAGAAAGTATAGACTATAATTATCGCAATGCTTTAAATTTTAATTGACATTTGTTTATAATATAATTACTGTTAACAATAAATATGAATTAACATCGTGTTGTAGTTAATTTCGTAAATTTTAGATTTTATAAAATAAGTCTCTCAGATAGTTGCTATTACAACTAGATTCTAACAAAATGAAATAAAATTTTATTGTGATTTGTGTATTTTGAAATCTTGTTTTTATAAACAATTTTTAAATATTTTAAAATAAAGTATGAAAATAAAACAACATTAACATAAAATTATGTAATAATAGACCCGAAGTTATCCATTAATCCGTTATAGAACAACATTGTCGAATACTTCATGTTTTATCATCATATCCAAAGTTAATTCTCAGTATAAGTAAACCAACAACGAGTTGCTCAACTTTCCCGGCAATATTTAAAATTTTAGTGGCGCCATCTGTTATCATATTTTATTAAAAACATTTTTATATTTTCAACTATTATAAAATGGCAAAAAGCTTAATTTTGAGGGTTTTATAAAAAAATTATAAATGTTAATAACGAGTAAAAGAGTCATTAAGTCCGACCCTACTGGAGATAGACACACGACCTCCATTATTTCCCACCCCGTCGACCTTTAACAACCAAAATTTAATAGCATCAATCCCCTAATAAACAAACCTCCCTGCAAAATTTTAGAAATTTTCCACAAAAAACATGAAAGTTATTAAGCTTCAAACAGGGAAAACATAATCGTGCTCCCCGCACACACATCCATATATACAGAAATTATCCCCCGAATTATTTTGCATTTCTGGACGTTTTAAGATCACAAATAATAAAGAACGAACTTTTTATTGAATTTTTCCATATTTATTCGAAACTTATTTATGAAATTTTTGATAAATTTTAAAGCAATAAAAATTTTTTAACTCTAATAAAATTAGATCAATTAATTTTAAATCTTAAATTTAAATACTATATTACAGTATTTTAATCGAAGCGATATGAAAACTGGAAAAAAATAAATTTAATGCTGAAATATTATATTATTACTGTACTAAAATTAATCTTATTTTTTAAAAAAATGTTTTATAACTTTGAATTCGTAGTGTTTTAATAGCAATGGAGATATTTCCTTAGAAGAACAAGAGTTCCTTTATTCTTACATTCATCTTATGAATGAAGAAGTTCAATCCTTTATTGAAGAACCTGTATATAAAGACGTTTCTAAGTAAGTTTTTAATGTATCGTATTCACAATAATTATATATATATTTTGTTAATTTACTATTTACGATCTTTTTAAAATATTATATTTTCATAAAATTACTGTACACTGAACAGAAATTTCGTACAGGATACTTCAAAAAGCATTAACTCTAATATGAAGTAAATTGTTAAGCCAGATTTGTGCAGTTCACTGAATAATTTTCCATCATGTGCAAGAAGTAGAAAATTACTAAAAAGTGTTAAAATTATGTTTAACATTTAAAAGCAATTTTCTCTTCTCGTGTTGCTAATTATTTTGATTATTTTGATAATTATTATGCATGAAATGCCTATTTTATTACACTAAAACCACTTTTTTAAACTCCTTTTTTTCATTATAAATAATCGAATTTTACAATTTTTAAAAACCAAAATACAAAAAAAACCCCTGTTATTTAAGCATTATATTTTAATATTGAAGTTTTAATAAAATATTTTTTACTCTTATCGTCTTTTTTAGTTGTCGCCTCACTTCAATCAGTGTCGATCCTCAAGTAGAAACATTAAATGGGAAGAAATTCGATATTCTTTTCTTAGGAACAAGTTAGTTAAACATTCATTTTAATTTTTTAATCGAAAATCTATAGGCCTAATAAAAATTTTGTTTTTTTAATATAATATTTATTTTATCTTTTTTTTTTCTTTTGTAAAGATTGTGGTAAAGTAGTAAAGGCCATTTATTTTATGGATAAGAAGATTAAAAGGATTATTGTTGAAATGATTCGGGTTGCTAAAAATAATATAATCATCACTGAACTTCTTGTACATAAAAATAAATTAATGATAATTACACCAAACGAAATTTATAGTATACCAAAGCAGAGATGTCAACAAAATGCTAAAACTTGTCGGTATGTTAATTTTTAAATTATGAAATAAATTTCAATTTTTTATTTCTATAAATCTTATTTATTTATTTACTTTTTAGCGATTGTGTTGGATTACAAGATCCTTACTGTGCATGGGATGAAACGATGAAGATATGTACTAGTTTTGAAGCAGGGTATATGCCATGTTTTAAAACTTATTTGGTAATTTAACCACGTATTGTTATAATAAAAATATTTTTTCTTACTAGGAAAAATGATACAACGAATTTTATTATTCAAAATATTGAAGGAGATAAATATTTCTGTCTCTGTAAGTTATATTTTAAAGTGTTTATTATTGATTTTTTTTAATATAAAATATTAAATATGTAAATTTAATTTGAATTATATGTTTAAATTTTTTTGTGTTTAGTATAGTAAACACTGTCAAAAGTTCTTTTTAACTAGACTAACAAACTGGAAATTATGAACATTGTGACTAATTATTGCTGCGTTACAGATGATGATGCTAATCAATCTGATAAATTCTACAATGTTACCGCTATAGTGATGGTCATTATTATATATGTTTTAATTACAACTTGTATGACTTTCTTTATGAATAAAACAGAAAATATTACTTTTCCACAATTTCCTCGAAGAAGAATAATTCATCTACAGTGAAGATTCAAATATAGGGGAGACCGGGGCAAGATCGGCATGTTAAGCTTTACTTAAATTTTGTGTAATAAATACTGCTGTAAACTGAAAAAAAGCTTTGCATATTGTCTATTGGAATGTTACCTTACTATAGAACTGGTTAAAATCAGTTTGGAAATAAAAATAATTAAAATAATTACAACTTTACAAGAAGAGAGAAATTGACGAAGTTGCCCCGGGTATAGGGGCAAGATCGGCAACTTCTCTCTTTTTGTAAAGTTGTAATTATTTTAATTATTTTTATTAAAGTTGCCCCTGGTATAGGGGCAACAGTAATGGGGCAAGATAGGCACGTATATAAAATTATGTTATTAACAATGTATAAGTTGGAATTCACTATTAAAACAAAGAAATACAAATCCAACACCCATTTAATATTATTACAACGAAATGCAAGTTCAAAGACATATATACATGAATAACAAATGCAAACATGTTTTCATTTATCATCTGTTTGATTTTTATCCTTTGCTTCTAATGTGGCTTTATGTTGCCGATCTTACCCCGCTAGTCATGATTTCGAAACATTAAGTACAACCCTGAGAACAGAATGCCAAGCCACGATCTGGCCACGTGAATAAGTTGAAGTTACATCCTTCTAACAGGAAAAGTAACTTTCGTTATCATGGAATTATAACAAAACCTGCCAATTCAATATAAATGGAAAAAAAATATTATATGGAATTGAACGAAAATGAAAATTTGCTTGATAATTCAACTACGCTTGTTGGAGAACAATAAAAACACTACACTCAACAAGCCACCAATAAAACTCAACTGCCTAACCTATAACCAAAGTCTCCTTTTAATTTGTTTTTTAAAAAAAGCGCTTGACAAACTTGCCCCGCATGCCGAAGTTGCCCCGGTCTCCCCTATATATATATATTTTAAATAAATAGTCTAACTTTATAAAAATCATAACAATTTTTGTTTAAAAGTTATTTATTACACATAGACGGAAAGAAGTGTAAAAACAAATTTTGTATACTTTGTTATTAATAAATTCATAATTAAAATATGGAATTTATATTATTATACGAATTCAAAAATTCATTAAACTTATGTTGCAAAACAACGTTAGAAAATAATTTTTTTAATTAAAAAAATATCAAACAATCATTAATTTAATAGATTTCAATAAAAATTAAAGTATTACTAAAGTTTAAATTAGATAAACATAAAATTACTACGAAGAACTTAACATACAGGAACGTTGTTGGCTGGTAAAGTAGACTTTAAAATATAGATCTTAAATTTGTTTTGTTGTTTTCGAGAACTTCTGTAAACGTAAATAAAAAAAACTGCTTAGAAAACAATCAGAAAATAGTAATGTTTCAACAACTCTAATAAGCAAAAATTGTTAAAAAATGAAAAAAATTGAATTTAATAGAGTTTAGTTTTGGAGGCAAAAATTTACTACTGAAAATCAAGGGATACATACCCTGGTAACCTATTAATTCAAATTTAGCCTACTTCTGAAAAAATTCAGCCTAAATTTTAATTTAGAAAGTTTCTAGGAATGTTTAAGAATATTACGAAATATAAATCAGCGAAAATTATAAATCAAAAGAAATCAGTGTAGTCGAACAGAAAGATTAAAGCTTGACGGGTGCTCGTTGGTGCCACTTCATCCATAGACTTAACATTGTGAACTTTGACCATGCAATTCTTTGGTCGCGAGTCGAATTTTAAAATACTATTTGCTTTACGACCTAGATCAAGATAGATTGTATATGAAGTCAAAAAATTATTTTAATCGGTTAAGCGGTTTCAGCGGAATCAATTGTCGCACTAAGAGAGCTCTGCTCAATTACTTCCATATAATGTAGAAATTATATCTAAATTAATACGGATATAGGCCTACATTATTTTATTGTTACTAATCCATAATTATATCACACCTTGACTTTATCTGTATATATAATCTGTAAACGAATAGATAAAAAGTATTTTTGAAATATCGGATAAAATATTTCTACATTCAAAACAAATCTATTAAATATTATCATCTAACCGCTGAGTATAACAATATATTTTGATTATGACGCAAATTTAATTATAACCGAATTTATCATCATTTTAAAATAATTACATTAATAGATTATTAATATTGTCTGTCATTCCGTTCACATTACATTAAATGTTAATGAATACTGGAGGAAATATTCTGAATGCTATATTTACTATCAGATATTTCTGTTAGAAGAATTGAGCATATACAAGTGTTCTTTTAATGTTTGTTTTAACTATTTTAGTGTATTAGGCCAAACTCATTTTATTGCATTAGACCTTTTTCTTTGTGCTTAAAAACAAACTTTATTAAGCTAATGCAGCGAGTGAGGTTTGGTTTCTAATTCATCATCCATCCATTATCCGTCCATCTTGGAGCATATTAGATTCACAGAATAGAAATGAAATATCTCTAACTTCAGTTTTTCCAACAAGTTATTACAGTCGACCCCCCTATAAGATCATTGATTTTTCCGTTTTATCTGAATTACATGTTGTACGAGTTACTTAGATTTTACAAATACGTGTGCCGGGCTGTGAACGGCTCACATATTTGTAAAATCTAAGTGACTCGTACAACATGTAATTCAGATAAAATGGAAAAATCAATGATCTTATAGGGGGGGTCGACTGTACTTCATATTCATATATACTACATATTTACATTAATCAATTAGTTGATAATCGATACTATTATTATTAAATTACTTTAATAATGATGATTTTACATAATTATACTTCAACTTATTTATATCTATTCGAAGTTTGAATGACTAATTTTGTGTTACGAGGAATTTAAACAGTGATGAAAACTAAACAACGATTCTAATATTAAGAGATCGATATCTAAATTTATCGAAAGCATTTGATATTATACTGTACATCATAATATACAGAATTCGATATTCAATATATTTATAATAGTGTAAAGCATACAAAAAAGAATAATAAAATTTTTAAAATTCACATTCTTTTATTTTACACAGCTAAGAATTAATTAATAGCCGAACTCAACTTTACTAATAGTGATGTGGTTTATTAAATAATAAAATTATTACTTCAATATAACAGTTAATATAATTATCTATGAAATAGGATCTACAATACGTTTATAAGTGATTAATATTTCATAATAAGAGGGACGTAAGTATTTCTTAAATCTTATTAAATTCCGAGGAAATAATACAAAATAATCAATAATGACAAGGCATTTTACAATATTAACTATAAATAAATGCCATGGAAAATATTAGTTATTTGATTATAAACTTAAATGGAAATATATAGGCCCTATAAGATATTAATGCATTTATGTGATAAAATATATACATAGGATTACGGTTAATAAAGAAATATCAAGTTATAAATCCTAATAGAATATTATTAAAAACAATTGTTATTAATATGCTAGAGTTACATATTTTTTTTATAAATAAAATATAAGTATTATATAAATTAAGCTGCAAAACATACATAATTTATGATATATATGTATAATATATTATCCATTTTTCAAGTTTTCCATAATTTTCTAGTATTTTATTTAATTGTATTTTTATTCTAGATTGTTAACTTAAATATGAAAACAATCGAAAAACAAAACGTAAATTTATCAATTTTTGAATTAGAAAATGAATTAAAAACATATTGAAGAATTAACTCAAAAGTTTATAAATTACTTCATTGTATTTCGTATAATATAACATAGTTCTAAAACTTTCATTTAATAATATGGAATACTATAATTGAAGACTTTAGAGCAAGAACATGTTAGCTCATCTTTGTTGAATAATGTTGAATTTCTACGAACATAGGGCAGATATAATTTCCAGACTTATAATCCATAACTTCTCATACACTGGCTTATCAATTTGCAATATCGATAATTGCTTGTAGTCTGTCCTAAAACACAGAGCTAATTCGAAACTTTAGGATGAACTTCCCGAAACTTTAAAAAGTGTTCTTTTTCTTATATAAATTAAAAATGTTCAATTTATTACGGTCGGATTACTTAAAAAGTGATATTTGTTTGTGAAAATTAAAGATTTTTTTTTACTAAATACATTGAAAAGTTTAGAAAAAAACATCAAACAAATCTGATTCTTTTAAGTAGACATAACATTACAGTCTGTTATAGTTCATTCTCAAAGGGAAAATGTTAGAATAAATTGCTTAGCATGAAGCTAGAATTAATTAAGTGATAATTAATGCAAGTGAATGGTAATGAATTATATATTTCGTAGCGTAATAATTAATATGAAAATTGAGTTGCCTATACAATACTTTTTAGTAATAAGGAACAGAAGTAATAAACTCAAAGCAGAAACAAATTTAATATTTTATAAAATTTATACTCAATAAGAACCACAGAAGTTGAAAGATGAACATTATAATTAGTTCTTATAATTAAATACATGAGAGAATGAAGGTGTTATAACACGTCATCCACTAATATCTTCAATTGTATAAAGTTTCCATATAGGTTAGTAATTTCTACTAATTTTAGTTAAACAGTGCATAAAAATATTTATAAATTTAGTTGTATTCATGTACTTTTCATAACAAAATTTATCCTATAATGACAATACTGTAACAATTTCAAATTTGTAACCTTAATTTATCCATTATTGTTCATTAAAATAAAATCAATTGAAACATAATATTTCAGAAAGTGTGGATAAAATACTTATTGTCTGTCTTAATTGGATTTGGTTATATTTCATCCATGCAATTGGACAGATCTAAGTTTTTTGGGGACTAGGGCTTATTAAAGTCCAATGGGGTCCAATTGTTNAGCAAAATTTCTGTTAGTGGATCCTAGGCTTTTTGTTTCCAGTATAACCAAAGAACGACAACCGATGATACGAATGCTCGGTGTTCATAAAGATAATTTATTTTTCATCGCAGGGTGAATAACCTGTCCAAAATTGGTACATCCATGTAGGATGGAAAGAGAAGAAACAAAGCCGACCACTCTGAAGGAACGAGATCGAATCCGGATGGTCAAAACACTGGAAACTCAGCGGTGGTCTGTCCCGAATAAGTCAGGCTTCGTCCCTCATCACCTGGTTTAATGCTAAACCAGTGGGCATTAAGAGGAAATGAAAAAGGCCTTAATATCTACAAGGAGGAAACATTAAAAAAGAAAAACAGCGAACAGATTGCAAGTCTGGAATTTTTGTTTTGTTGGCAGTCAATATATGTGGTGCCCATTTACTCAGCTTCCAAGTTTTCCTATGCGATATAAATGTTAGCAAATGATTTCACCAGAAACCTTTCTTCAAAATCTTGACTTCTTTGAAGTGATAATATTGAAAACCCGCACGAACTTTTTGGTTATGTGATACTTGATTTGGTTATATGACTTTGTATTAATAGCATATTCTTTTAATTTTCATTATAGAGCATGGCAATATGAAATTTCCTGTTAATAAAACTGAACTAAATAATTTTGTTATCTTAAAAAAATATGAAAATGAAGTTATAATAGGTGGTAGGTAAGTATAAGTAAGTAGATGAAGAGTAATTAGTAGTCTAATACGAAAAAATATCAGTTTAATTATTTTTAAACGAACTTTTGTAGAAACAACATTTATAAAATGAATGTAGAAGAATTAAAACCAGAAAAAGTAAATTTGTTTTAATTATAATAATTTTTATTTTTATATGATATTAAGTAAATAATTTGTTTTATTTAAATTTTTAAGATTTAAGCAATGTGTGGGTATATTACACATAGAATTTTTAATGTTTGGTTTCGTCATAAACACAAATTATCGTTTCTATGCATGATGACATTATTTTTCCATTTACCCGAATTAATATCAACAACATGTACCTGGACTAAAATTAAGGGAAATGAAAGCTTTGTTTGTCAAGGTATTTAATACTTTATTTCTTCGATACTAAATCAATTGATATAATTGAAACCTGATTTTCTGTAATATATTTTAAAGGCGAAATATTGGAAAATTTAGAAAAGTTAACGTATAATGAAGACGAAATTGTTTACGGAGGCTTGTAAGTATAAATACAGTATTTGAAAAATTTATTTACTGTGTGATCGTAAAGTATTCCTGTTTAACACTGTCTAAAAAGATATTTAGCGGTCCAAATGAAACTATATCTTATATAGTGGTTTTTCAGTACATATCGAAGATTATTTGCATAAAATTTAATATGAAAACTTGCTACTTTTGACACTGGAGGCAACAAAATATTGCCTTTACAAGACACTCGTATTAAACAAAGACATTAACGATGCAGGGGTGAAATTTACCATCCCCTCACCAGAACGGCTGTTAAATGAAACTCATTCTGAAATTATTACATAAACACTAGAACATTTTCAAATTATACACTAATTTAATACTTACAATTTTAATAAAACTTCTTTCACAACTTATAATAATCTATCATTATACACTGACCTAAATTGCAATAAAGCCTATAAATTATTGACGGATAGATTCTATAGGGCATATGATACAGCTCATTACTAATTAAATCTGTTTATTGATATAAACTATGATCTAGATCTAGAGTATATATTAGAATAAATATTTTGTATAAAATTCTTATGATGAATTTATAATGGTTAAAAATTCATAACATAGAATAATATACAATTGCCCAATAAATTTAAAATTATTTGTTTGAAGTATTTAAAAATAGATTTAAAATATTATTGATCAGTATCACAACTAAAATAACTACATTAAAAATATATATATTTCTTTCTTTGTCATAGGAATCATCTTTACAAAATAGAGTTGAATTCTTTACAAGACGAGCAGGTAGAATATTGTAAATTTATAATAATCAAAATTTTGTTTTATATTAAAAAAGTTAATTGTAAATATAATTTTATTACAAGNCTTTACAAGACACTCGTATTAAACAAAGACATTAACGATGCAGGGGTGAAATTTACCATCCCCTCACCAGAACGGCTGTTAAATGAAACTCATTCTGAAATTATTACATAAACACTAGAACATTTTCAAATTATACACTAATTTAATACTTACAATTTTAATAAAACTTCTTTCACAACTTATAATAATCTATCATTATACACTGACCTAAATTGCAATAAAGCCTATAAATTATTGACGGATAGATTCTATAGGGCATATGATACAGCTCATTACTAATTAAATCTGTTTATTGATATAAACTATGATCTAGATCTAGAGTATATATTAGAATAAATATTTTGTATAAAATTCTTATGATGAATTTATAATGGTTAAAAATTCATAACATAGAATAATATACAATTGCCCAATAAATTTAAAATTATTTGTTTGAAGTATTTAAAAATAGATTTAAAATATTATTGATCAGTATCACAACTAAAATAACTACATTAAAAATATATATATTTCTTTCTTTGTCATAGGAATCATCTTTACAAAATAGAGTTGAATTCTTTACAAGACGAGCAGGTAGAATATTGTAAATTTATAATAATCAAAATTTTGTTTTATATTAAAAAAGTTAATTGTAAATATAATTTTATTACAAGTATTATTACATATCAAAGTTTTGTTTTAGATGCAATGGGATAGCACTTTATATGATAAAGAAATTTGTCGAGTTAAATGGGGTACTCAGGTATGCTTTTAATTTATTAATATAGTAAATATCGACATTTATGTAACCTATTCAAATCTCAAAATAATACTTGCTTTCAGAATAATATTAAAAACTTTTAAATATAAAAAGAAAAAAATGACACTAGAAAGGTCTGGAAATTACTTAGAATAGTTTACAGACATTACAGTGTTGAAAATAGTGAAAAATAAATGGACCCTCTTAGAAGTTCTAAACTTATATGTTATGTTCCTATTAAACATTATAGTCTCAAATATTTAAAAAAATCTTCTTACAATTTAAACTGAAATAATATTATTTCCATTATATCATGTTAGTTGAACTTTATTTTACACGAAAATTATTACATACAGTCGACCCCCTATAACACGGGTTTCTATAGTTGGGATTCCTATATCACGGCGAAAAATTGCGACAGTATTCGTACAAACATGCTAAAAAAACTCCTATAATTCGGTAAAACGTCATCGCCGACTCGTGTCGCGACAGGATTGGTCGAATCTATACCAATAGCGGATATTGCACAAACCGTTGAGTTTAAACGAGCAGCGGACCTACTAAAAACCATTTATTATTTAACTTTCATTAAAATTATATTTATATTAATGATGTCTCCAAAGTTCAGCGAATTTTTCGCAAAAAAAAAAAAATTTTATCAAGAAGCACGCGAGCGCCCTTCGATGACAAGCTCCACGACGAAAACAAGCTTAAGCAATGGCGTAGTCGAACGGTGCACACTCGGTAAGTAATCCTACATTTTTTTTGTTTATAGCATAGTTTATATGGGTTATTCCCAAAAAATTATACGTATTTTGGAAATATTGAGTCGAATCAGTCTAGAATCGATTAATTTTATGGAAGAAACCTTTCAAACAACCGTAGTCCGTAAACTGCATACGTGCCGGGCTGTGATTGGCTAGACTCGTGGAAAATGGATTCATAAAAACCGGAACGTATCTACCGTGTTATAGGGGGATCGACTGTATCATGTTATAACATTCTAGGATAACGCATATAACATATAAGGTTAAATTTGTAGGAGTAATGTCTCTAAATTTATTCTAAATCTATTCTCTTTATATAGGTTATTATGCTAAATTTTATTAATACAATACGATTTTTTATTTTGTTAACTTCTTAGAAGGATTTCAAGAGTTAATATATTAATTAATTATATTCTAAAAACAATATTTTATAAATTTGAAATGATTAGTTTTAAATTATTACACATTTTGATACAGGAATCAGATCTATGTAACAATTACATAAGAATATATGACGCTATCTCCACAGATCATTATCTAGTATGTGGTACACATTGTTTGAGACCTTTATGCAGAATATATAAAAAAAATGTATGTATGAATACAAGTTATGCTATGTTATGATATATATTAGTAATTAATTAAATATAAAAACATGGAAGATAACGTTAATTGAATTTTAGAGCGACGGATATGAAATAGTAAATGAATTTTCGGCAGAAGGATTGTGCAAACACAGACCTCTAACTGATAGTACTGCAACAGTAATTGGTAAATAAATTTATTTTATCTCTATAATATATATTGTAAATTCAATAAACTATTTAATATTTTTTTGACAAATAAACGAGTCATTTGATTCATAAATTATAACTTATTATCTAAGCTAAACAAAATAATTATTTATAAAATACGTAGTTACATATAACTAGATTAGATCGTAACTTAAGTTATAAATTTTAATTTTATTATATTGTAGATGGAAAAATATTTGCTGGTACTCACGAAGGAGAAATTGATGTTTATCCTGTAATTCAGAGTAAACATATAAAAACGACATCGGCCGACGAATTACAGGGTAAAATAACTTTAAATATTAAATAAATATTTAGTTTTTTCTGCTTGTTAAATCTAAATTTTACAATAGTTTCATCAATTAAAAATAAAAAAATAGATTTGAAAACGGGAAAATTATTTATTGTGATATCGTCACAATGCCGGGTTGCAATTTTTAATCATATTTTTTAATTTATTTAATTTAAAATATATGCTCTCCACCACAAATTAGTAGTGTATTGCCTCCGTACTTCACACTTTTCCTTTAACATGTCGGTCATCAGGAATATTTTATTCATGAAAATTTAATTGAAAATGTAAGTCAAATGAGGTAAAGGATATTACCTTATTTGACTTACCTTATTTGACCTTTTGTTTCTGAAACAAAATGAGATAGTAATAGTAACTTCTTCACTTGTTGATATTAATAATTTCTTTTTAACAAATATAATTTTTAACATTAATTTATTATCATTTTTCCAAAAAAAAGTTTGTAGAGAGTCGTGTGATTTTGATAATGAAAACTGCTTCTGTCGTAAATAAAATATACAATTATAAAGTAACAAAAATGATGACTTGGGCATAAAGATGAAACTGTTTCGTTCTTAAAATTTAAGTTGTCTTTAATTATACTTTTAGACATTTTTCTTATTTAGATTTTTATATTACTACATTTACGCGTTATAATATATAAGTGGTGGCTGTGGTATCTGATGTGGGTGTTATCGCAAGATAGATAATGCGTGGCATGCAAAAATAATAAAATCGTTATTATTTCGTAAAATATATTAATTAATTTTAAATTAAAATTATTTTTTGTTATTAAAAGCAGCGCAGATTAAAACATTATAAGAAATAATACCGATTCTATTATTACAAATTTAAGTCCAAACCTATTGCATTTGCTGAGAGAAAATGTTTTTAACGTCCAAATCTTCTTTCAATGATGTATTTTAAGCCTCAACCATTGCTACGGATATGGAAAAAAAAATAGAAATTTACAAGAGCGAGATCAAAGAGCCGTGTCTGAAAGCGAGAGATGCATACCATTACCTTCAGCCTAAAAATACACCATTAAAAAAAGATTTGAACATTAAAAATTTTCTCTCCATAGGTGCCATAGGTGTGGTCGTAAATTTGTAATTTATTCTATGCTGAGCACGTCCGAACTTATTCTATAATTTTTCAGACAGTACCTTCATATTAGAGCCACAACCACCACTGACTAATATACAGTATACTTTCTAACAATGAAACAAAATTTATTTTTTAGAGTCAGTTTTTGTAGGATCGTTTCAACATGATAAATTTGTTTATTTTTTCTTTAGAGAAGCAAATGTAGAACTTGATACTGGAAAAAAGGTAAAGTTTATTTTATAATTTTTGATAGGTAAATATTATTAGAAATTTATTATAATTTTAAATTATTTTATATAATATTATTGTAGGTAATATATTCAAAAGTCGCTAGAGTTTGTATTAACGACAAAGGTTATAAAATGGAAGATATAGAGAAATGGACGTCATTTTTTAAATCTCGTCTTATTTGTGTCACATCGGGAATTAATCCATATTTTTACGATCAAATACGTAAGTCATGCGGAATGTACAATTAACAGAAAGTGTAAACAAATAATTTCACTTATAATTTTTATAATCTAAATATATAAAATTGCTTGTCCTGACTGACTGACTCACTGATTCACTGATTCATCATCGCCCAGAGCAAACCGCTTAACCAAAAGAGATGAAATTTGGTAGACAGTTAGAGTACGTCATGGAAACGCACACTAAGAAGGGATTTTTCAAAATTCCCCCAGGGGGAAAGGGAGAGAATTAAGGCTTAACCGAAAGAACGGCTTATACTGTACTAGTTTAGATGCNTTATTATTTAACGCCCATAAAAATTATATTTATATTAATGATGTCTCCAAAGTTCAGCGAATTTTTCGCAAAAAAAAAAAATTTTATCAAGAAGCACGCGAGCGCCCTTCGATGACAAGCTCCACGACGAAAACAAGCTTAAGCAATGGCGTAGTCGAACGGTGCACACTCGGTAAGTAATCCTACATTTTTTTTGTTTATAGCATAGTTTATATGGGTTATTCCCAAAAAATTATACGTATTTTGGAAATATTGAGTCGAATCAGTCTAGAATCGATTAATTTTATGGAAGAAACCTTTCAAACAACCGTAGTCCGTAAACTGCATACGTGCCGGGCTGTGATTGGCTAGACTCGTGGAAAATGGATTCATAAAAACCGGAACGTATCTACCGTGTTATAGGGGGATCGACTGTATCATGTTATAACATTCTAGGATAACGCATATAACATATAAGGTTAAATTTGTAGGAGTAATGTCTCTAAATTTATTCTAAATCTATTCTCTTTATATAGGTTATTATGCTAAATTTTATTAATACAATACGATTTTTTATTTTGTTAACTTCTTAGAAGGATTTCAAGAGTTAATATATTAATTAATTATATTCTAAAAACAATATTTTATAAATTTGAAATGATTAGTTTTAAATTATTACACATTTTGATACAGGAATCAGATCTATGTAACAATTACATAAGAATATATGACGCTATCTCCACAGATCATTATCTAGTATGTGGTACACATTGTTTGAGACCTTTATGCAGAATATATAAAAAAAATGTATGTATGAATACAAGTTATGCTATGTTATGATATATATTAGTAATTAATTAAATATAAAAACATGGAAGATAACGTTAATTGAATTTTAGAGCGACGGATATGAAATAGTAAATGAATTTTCGGCAGAAGGATTGTGCAAACACAGACCTCTAACTGATAGTACTGCAACAGTAATTGGTAAATAAATTTATTTTATCTCTATAATATATATTGTAAATTCAATAAACTATTTAATATTTTTTTGACAAATAAACGAGTCATTTGATTCATAAATTATAACTTATTATCTAAGCTAAACAAAATAATTATTTATAAAATACGTAGTTACATATAACTAGATTAGATCGTAACTTAAGTTATAAATTTTAATTTTATTATATTGTAGATGGAAAAATATTTGCTGGTACTCACGAAGGAGAAATTGATGTTTATCCTGTAATTCAGAGTAAACATATAAAAACGACATCGGCCGACGAATTACAGGGTAAAATAACTTTAAATATTAAATAAATATTTAGTTTTTTCTGCTTGTTAAATCTAAATTTTACAATAGTTTCATCAATTAAAAATAAAAAAATAGATTTGAAAACGGGAAAATTATTTATTGTGATATCGTCACAATGCCGGGTTGCAATTTTTAATCATATTTTTTAATTTATTTAATTTAAAATATATGCTCTCCACCACAAATTAGTAGTGTATTGCCTCCGTACTTCACACTTTTCCTTTAACATGTCGGTCATCAGGAATATTTTATTCATGAAAATTTAATTGAAAATGTAAGTCAAATGAGGTAAAGGATATTACCTTATTTGACTTACCTTATTTGACCTTTTGTTTCTGAAACAAAATGAGATAGTAATAGTAACTTCTCCACTTGTTGATATTAATAATTTCTTTTTAACAAATATAATTTTTAACATTAATTTATTATCATTTTTCCAAAAAAAAGTTTGTAGAGAGTCGTGTGATTTTGATAATGAAAACTGCTTCTGTCGTAAATAAAATATACAATTATAAAGTAACAAAAATGATGACTTGGGCATAAAGATGAAACTGTTTCGTTCTTAAAATTTAAGTTGTCTTTAATTATACTTTTAGACATTTTTCTTATTTAGATTTTTATATTACTACATTTACGCGTTATAATATATAAGTGGTGGCTGTGGTATCTGATGTGGGTGTTATCGCAAGATAGATAATGCGTGGCATGCAAAAATAATAAAATCGTTATTATTTCGTAAAATATATTAATTAATTTTAAATTAAAATTATTTTTTGTTATTAAAAGCAGCGCAGATTAAAACATTATAAGAAATAATACCGATTCTATTATTACAAATTTAAGTCCAAACCTATTGCATTTGCTGAGAGAAAATGTTTTTAACGTCCAAATCTTCTTTCAATGATGTATTTTAAGCCTCAACCATTGCTACGGATATGGAAAAAAAAATAGAAATTTACAAGAGCGAGATCAAAGAGCCGTGTCTGAAAGCGAGAGATGCATACCATTACCTTCAGCCTAAAAATACACCATTAAAAAAAGATTTGAACATTAAAAATTTTCTCTCCATAGGTGCCATAGGTGTGGTCGTAAATTTGTAATTTATTCTATGCTGAGCACGTCCGAACTTATTCTATAATTTTTCAGACAGTACCTTCATATTAGAGCCACAACCACCACTGACTAATATACAGTATACTTTCTAACAATGAAACAAAATTTATTTTTTAGAGTCAGTTTTTGTAGGATCGTTTCAACATGATAAATTTGTTTATTTTTTCTTTAGAGAAGCAAATGTAGAACTTGATACTGGAAAAAAGGTAAAGTTTATTTTATAATTTTTGATAGGTAAATATTATTAGAAATTTATTATAATTTTAAATTATTTTATATAATATTATTGTAGGTAATATATTCAAAAGTCGCTAGAGTTTGTATTAACGACAAAGGTTATAAAATGGAAGATATAGAGAAATGGACGTCATTTTTTAAATCTCGTCTTATTTGTGTCACATCGGGAATTAATCCATATTTTTACGATCAAATACGTAAGTCATGCGGAATGTACAATTAACAGAAAGTGTAAACAAATAATTTCACTTATAATTTTTATAATCTAAATATATAAAATTGCTTGTCCTGACTGACTGACTCACTGATTCACTGATTCATCATCGCCCAGAGCAAACCGCTTAACCTAGAGAGGTGAAATTTGGTAGACAGTTAGGGTACGTCATGGAAACGCACACTAAGAAGGGATTTTTCGAAATTCCCCCGCGGGGGGAGAGGGAGAGGATTAAGGATTAACCGGAAAAACGGCTTCTACTGTACTATTTTAGATGCGATTTTTTGTTTTCAACTACGTTTAGTCTTCATTGAGTACTTAGGTGTATTAAATTGATAACATTTCAGACATTTCGAGTTTAAAAATGTTCGATCCGTTTTAAATTCGAATTTGTTATTGCATATTGGTTCGATTATAGAACGATTGTAAACGTTCCAGAAAATTGATCAAATTGAAGATAGTTCGTTTGATTCTCGGCAATTCTCTTCAGCGGTAGGTGTTATATGACAATTACTATGGTTATTGAAATACTGTATTGAATGTAAATGGGGTTTGCTTGCAAAACCTCCGCGGACGAAGTTACGGGTAACAGCTAGTTATAATATATTTTAATTATTTGGCATTGTTATGATTAAGTTATTATCAAATCAAATCATCTATCCTGACTTTACAAAGTTCCATTGTATACCGGGATGAATAAAGTACAAACCACAAATAATAATTTTAAATCTTTTTCAAAACAGCTTTGAATATAGCCTAATTTTACACAATAACTTTCGTCACTTTTTTGCATAATTTTGAACTTAATTTATTCTTTAGGAATTTAATAAACGTTTTTAAAAAATATTTTACATTTTATCTTTAAAAACATTTCTTATGATCACTTAATGAACTATTCCATTCTACCTGTCCTGAATCGATATTTATCACGTGATATCTTGTCAGTTATCATAACATCAACAATCACGTACCTATAAAGTTTATTTAACAAAATTCTCATATTAAATCATTTCAGAAGCCATAAGTAAAATCGTAAATGGAGATAATGAAATATTTTATGGTATTTTTAATTCCGACGAGTAAGTATATCAATAATTATTATTTTGTATAAATACTAAATTTTAATAAACAATTTTTTTTAATAAATGATATTTAGACCTCTTCCCATTTCATCAGCAATATGTGCATTTAGTATGAAGGATATTCAAAATGTTTTTGATGGTGATTTTAAAGGAACTGAAGGACCTGTTTCATCTGAAAATATCCCTATACCAAGACCCGGAACCGTAAGGTTTAGAAAGAAAATTGTATTTTAAAAATTTTCGAATTTAATATAATTTTTTTTTTCTTTTAAGTGCGCTGATTATTCTTCTGGAGTTAGTGAAGAATTAAAGAATTTCTTAATTACTCACGCCGAAATGAATAATCTTGTTTATTCGTATTTGAAGGATCCTGTTCTCATAAATCAAGACTTTCGGTATTTAAATCATATAAATTTTATATAAAATAATATAGTTTTCAATTATAATTACAGTAATTCTATATTTTTTTTTTCAGTTGTCGCTACACTTCAATATTTGTGGATCCACAAGTAAGATCTCTTAAAGATAAACTCTACGATATCCTCTATATTGGAACTGGTAAGGAATTTTAGTAAAGATCGTAGTAAAATATTATTCTTAGCTATTCATATAAAATATAAGGATATAAAAAAAGTTTGAATATAGAAATTTTCTTAGGTTGGTGTTTGTATTATTTTCAATATTCTTTCTTACAGAATGCGGTACAGTGAAAAAAGCATTAAGTACTTATGAGAAAGGATCGAATGCACCCAAAATTATCGAAACTTTCCAATTGTTTCCTGATATAGAAATAGTTAAAAGTGTACACATTTATAAGGAAAAGCTCCTCGTACAATCAACAAACATGATTATAATAGTAAATACTGATAGATGTAAACAACACACATGCAATTGCACGTAAGTAAAATGAATAAAGAATATTTGTTTTTAAATTTAAAATATAATTAGATTTATATTTTCAGTGAATGCATTCGGTTACGTGATCCGTATTACGCTTGGAATATGAACAAATCAAAATGTGAGAAAATTTATCACAAGAGAGGGTATATATATTTTTATTATAGACAATTAAAATGTCTAAAATTAAATTATAGAAATTAATAATAATAAATTATCTTAGGAATGACGTTTATTTACAAGATGTGGAAAACACAGGCGAGGATGAAACCTGCTGTCATACTTCAAATTCAGAATCAAGTAAGCAGTTGAAAATATAATTAAAATATTTACGAAAAATTTTAGAATTTTATTTGGAAATATGTGAAAATATTTTTTATAATTTTAATTCTTTATGATATTCATTATTTTATAGATTTATTGAAGACAACGACAGGAATCGAAATTTTCAAATTATCAACATGCGTTATTTTATTTATCTCTATTTCTAATTTTATTGTTTAATAATATAACATTCATGTTTCATTAGGAATATAATGTAATCAATAAGCAAATTTCAGTGTAGATCAAGTTTCCTGTTTACAAAAAGAAGCTAGTTGATATGTATTATTTATAAGACTAAAATCTTTAAAACTTATAAGATTATTAAATAATTTCAATACTAAATTCTGTATTTAATATATGTAGACATGTTTTCATATTGTTTGGCTGTAATAAACATTATTATTACGTGCTGCCGACTTTAAAATTAAAAACATTATTACGTACTGCATAACCCGAATGTAAAGAATATAAATGATTACTAAAATGCTCTTAATTCGTCTTCTATACTTATAGCACTACCCTTTCATCCAGGAAGCATTTTTAGCATCTCTTATCCAGGAAGTTTTACAGAATAGAGCATACTTTTTACTCCATTTTGATATTTTATCTTTTATAACATAAAACATTACTTTCTCTAATTCTTCTTCTGTTTTCTCTTCTGTCAAACTGTGTTTTGATATGAACATCATAATTATGACAGTATGTTCCTCAGACAAATCACCATCACTGTCATCCCAAATTTCAAATTTACATTATCATTTATTAAATTTTGAATAATTTGTTTGAAAATATTGACATTGAATTGAATTGAATATTGATTTAACAACTTAATGAATTTCATTTGTAATTTTGCGCAAAAGCTTAAAAAAGAGCGAAAAATGATGCTAATTGAGGTAAATGGTGCAATGGAAAAAATAATGCAAAAGGGAATTAAAAATTCGGTTAAACGGATCGGGAAATCATGTACGACAGATTCTTTAGCTTAACTATTAATGCATTTACTTGAAGTTTATGATATTTCTATTGATAATTTCAAATACTGTATATATGATATACAAAGATTCAGTAATGATAGTATATAGATCAAGGATTTTATATTGTGTAGAATGGCTACTACAGAGACTGTTACAAATCATTTAAATTGACCATCGCCGAAACACCTTTTCTGGGCGTCGAAATGCCATCAAAAGTAACTCAATCCGCGATTTTTCGTCCAATTTGGCAGTTTGGTCTTGCCACTATTTTCTTTTTTACGTACTTTTTTTTTTAAATTTATCTACTAACACGAACTCTCTGATTTTATTATTTCACTCATTTATGGTAGTTTTATTTGTTGTATTTATAAAAATTTTAAAAAAAACACAGCATATTTTATTTGATGCATTCATTTAAAAATTTCTCGATTTCTGTTTCTTAAAATTTCGAATTTAATTTTTAAATTTAAAATTATAAGCGTTCTATATTCCAATAGGTTAACGTTCATTGCTGAAGATGGATGCCTCAACAGCCGAAAACATTCGATACAATATTTGTTGGAGGCTTGAAAAAAATTTATCAAGTATTGAATCTGAATCATTAGGCAAAATATAATGATTTCGGGGGGGGGAAATTAGTTTATTATTCAATTCGTTGATGCCAATTATTTTAATCACGTTTGTTTTAAAATCAATTTATGAATATCTAACGACAAGCCGAACTACAAAAATCGCAATATCTTATTATTTTACAACGAAGTGGAAGATGTTAAAATATTAATCTCAAATAAGTACTGTACACTCGGGGGCGGATTTAAGTTTTTCGGAGCCTAGAGCTTATTAAAGTCCAATGGGGCCCCGTTTTTACCAAACCTAACCTATTAACTATTTTTAACTATACAATAAGTGCTCATTGTTAATGAAAAAGTATTAAAATTTTATGATAATAATTCAATTTTTGTGGGCCCTTGACACTTGGGTGCCCTGGGCTTAAGACGTATTAGTCCACATGTAGATCCGCCTGTGTACAGTACATTAAAATGTACAATTTCAAGATTTTTTGTTACTACACATGTCAATGAACGGCAGAATGACGTCACTTTTGTCGTCAAAGCCGACGGAAAACGAAGTTGAAAATATTCAACTTTTGTCGTGACGGAAAGAGAAATGGTAAAAATTAGACCAATAGGAAGGCCGTTTAGCAATTTTATTAAACATCACGTGAAACTACAGCATTCGAACTATGGCGGTCGACAAGGCTAAAAAGCTTTATTTATACGCTAATATATTTCATTTATACGCTATATCGCTATCCGATTTAAATATTAATGTTAATTGAATAGACGTACTTACTTCGTAATGAATTCTGAATGGCGTAATCGTAATTCGGGTACGAAAGTATTCGATATTCCTAACTTCCAACGATTTCGATTATTTTTCCTATCCAAATTTTTCGCTTTAAGCTTTTTTATTTACAATATAACAAAGCAATCCCGGTCGGCGACATTTTCGACTACTGGCACGAGGCCTACCTACTGTAGTAGCTTGTTTATATTTACGGCTGGCAGATGGCGCGCATTTCAATTGTACGATAATTTCCTCACGTGAGTACTAGGCTTAAGTCTTCTTCATAAGATTACCATTTAATTATGGCGAAACATACGCAGAGGGAATTCGAATTGCTCAGTTTACTAGACAAAGACTAGAAGTATATTTACAGTGAGACGACAACATTTGGATGAAAAGAAACGAGAGAAATTTAATTACTTGGAAGTGTCTTAAGTGATAACTAGGATCATGATATAGAGCGTGAATAGAAAAGGCAAGAATTCTCTTCACGAAAATGAGAAGGGTGCTATATTCTAGAGACCTAACCCTCCATACGAAAACTAGAATAATCGGATGTTGTGTGTTTCCGCCACTATTGCACGGAGTTGAATCTTGGACCGTATCCAAAACATCTGAAAAGAAGATATAAGCCTTCGGTAAATCTACATTTCGAAGGCTTCGAAGAGTATTCTGGGTAGAACATGTGACCATTGTAGAAATATTGCGACGAGTAGATAAACAAGAACTATTCAACACCGAGCAAAAAGTTGAAATACTTCGGCTACGTGATGAGAAAGTACTGAATCCTACAACTGATTATACAAGGGAAAATCTATGAAAAAGACCAGGTCGACGTCGAATATCGTGGCTGAGAAACGCGGCCAACATCGGAACTGATAGGGCACCAGAAGACAAAGTTTGTTCATTTCTTGTCCGCGGAAAATGATTTCTCATGCAATTTCGGTTTTCGCAAGAATTTAAGGCTTCGAGCCGTAATTAAAATGCAACGTGTGTAAGTTATTTAGGTAATAATTGTATAAAGTAAATATTTGAGAAATTTAAGCTTTAAAATTTGTTGTTCTTTCTGCTACATTACTGTCTTTCAAGATTTTTTTTTTTTTACAAACAATTGTCTTACGTCAGATTAGTTCCGAAAGATAAATTTGTTTCGAGTAAAATTTCATAAGGGTTAAAATGTTAAATTTGAACTCTCTTGTTTTAGCTCTTAGAGTTTAAATTAAAATGTGGTGTCTTGGGGCAAAGCAAGTTAGATATTCATCGCAATAAGTTTGCATTAAACAATCCTATATTTATAGGTATAGTATTTCATCCAGTAAGTAAAATATCCAAGAGGTTAAAACGTACAGAAAAAAAGGTATTTAATTCTTTATTCCACATATACATTTCGGGTCGACGAACTCTCAACCCATCTTCAGTGCTATATAATTTGTACGTATTTATAAAAAATAAACCATAGGTGAAGATTCAATTTCAAGTACAAGTGTACCTCCCGTGTTTGATGATTTTATTTCTTAGTCCCGTGAGATTATTGGACATTACATCTTGTAAAATCTTTCCTTTATAATCTTGGCATTCAGCCATTTCTGAAAACATTTTAAAACTTAAAGGTAAACACGAGCTTTTTTCATCACCTAACAAATCGAATAAAATTTTGTCGAAATTTAACATTTCGCCACTTGATTATTATTTAGTTACTAATTTGGAATTTAGGAATCAATGTAAGAATTATACAAAATAAATGGATTGTTCTTCAACGTATTTTTTATTTTAAAATTATAAGCATAAAAATGACAGTACATAAATATTGGCATTACAAGTGCAAAAGCGCTGAAAATAAAAACTAAAATTAGGAGACAGTTCAATACCTTGATTTTATCATTTTGATTTTTCTTCTATATAGAAAATTAAAACATTTTTTCAAATTAGTTTTATTTACAAAGAAACAGACCCCGAAAAGAATAAAAACAGTGGTCATAAGATAAATAATGGAAATTGCTATTGCTAAGTTGTTTCTGTCAAACATACTGGTACTGCATAATTCTTTTGCAGAGTCATCTAGGGACAAAAATTATTTTGACTTTGTAAAATAAGTCTTTTATAGCATTAATTTTTCTTCACATAACTTACATGAACAGCATTCGAAATCGTATCCACTTTTAATGTTTTGAATTAAGTTTCGATTTCTTTCTCTGGGGGAAGAAATAAAAAGAGTTTAAGAAAAGTAAAAGAAATTAAAAATTTAAGAATACGTACTCGTTTACAGTAGTACAAATCATTTTTGTTTTATCCCAGGCACAGTAAGGATCTTGCAGTCCAACGCAATGGCTGTAATAAAAAACAAATTAAGAAAAAAAAACTTGAAAAGAGAAAGCCAACAATTGTTAATACCTGCATGTTTTGGGATTTTTTTCGCATCTTTGAGTAGGAACAGTATAAATATCGTGTTGAGTAAGCAACATCAATGTATTATTATGAATATGAAGGTTAGTGATTGAGGCATTCACATGGGCAATGTTGATTTCCTCTACAATAATTCTTTCAATTCTATTACTAGGGTTGTAGATTGTTTTTATGACTTTACCACAACCTAAAAAAAGATGATTTAAAAATGAGAACTTAAGAAGTAAAAAGAACTTTTTTACGCAAAAAGTGACTGAAAATGCTATGTTAAGATTTACAAAAAAAAAAAAACGAAATAAAACTTACTCGTCCCAAGAAAAAGAACATCGTATTTACCCTCATTTACTGTTTTTACAGTATCAACAGCAAACGAAGTGACGTGACAACTAAAATAAAAAAAATCTCATTACACTGTTTGATAAGGATCAAAATAAGGTTTATAAGAAACAAAACATCTTGATTCCTTGTCCAGAAAAACATGTAATAAAAAAACCGGTTTTCTGACGCTATGAAAAAAACTGCATTTTCAAAATTCATAAAATATGCATTTTTATTCGATTAGAAAAAAGTTGCATAACCTCAAAATGGATTTGTTTAACATGCAAAAACAACAACAACAACTTCTTACTCTGAAGTATATGTTAAAACAGGCTCTTCCAGGAAAGACTCCACGTTTTCATTCATAAAATAATGTTGATAAGCAAATTGAAGTGCTTCCGTAGACAGTTCAGAGTTCTTAACGCACTAAAGGGGAAAAAAAAAAATTGAATGATATAAAATAAAATTCTAAGTTCTCAGATATAGGTCAAACTAATACCCTGAATGCAGTCTTAATTAGAAATAAACCGAATTTAATTTCCTAATATACGTCCTAATGTACAGTACGTCCGAATGTAATGAAATCATATAATGAGAAAAAATAAATAATTAGTAATTAAACGATTTTTTCTTATTGTACTTAAGAAAATATTAAATATTAAAAAACAGTATTTTTAAAGTTAAAATAAGATTAAACTAACGAATACCAAAACCAAAGTGATGTAGAGATACGATGTGCTTGTATATCGATGACGTAATACACGTAACTGAGGAGAGAACGAAAACAACCGAGTCGAATTAATTAAGTCGGAAAAAAAGTGTGCAATATAAATCAAGAAAATGCGACTATTGTATTAATCTTTAAAATATTGGTATTAAAATCTGTCTTATAAAATCACGACGACTCCAGTAAATCGAGTTATCCGATAAGAATAAAATACAATACCAATATAGCTCTATCGTTGAAAAAAATTCGCTTATTTGCTCACCTCGAGTTCTGTTTAGTAGAAATGGCTAAAAAGTGCGCAAAATACATACGGAAATACGGTGTTAGGGCACCACCTGTATTGGACGACCAACTGTCTAAAAAAACCACTTTTTGCAGGAACCGTGAGTGGTCGCCATAGACAGGTTTTACTGTATATGCATAGATATATATAATTGTGTGCGCGCGCGCGCGGCGTAAACACAGTTCTGATTTATTAATACATTTTAAAGAGAGTGCCATGGCCTATTCAGCCCATGGTTGCATTTATTACTTACGGATCCAGGTCTTTGAGTCGGTACTTCCTGAGCTGGAAAGGGAACCCAATTTGAAAGTTTATCTTTTTGGAATTTAAAGTCGCCTTCGAATGCTTTTTCTATCTCTCTTAGACGAAAGAGACACACAGCAGATCCGTAAAAATCATCGCTAAAAAAGTTTCAGTTTAATATTTTTAGAGTCATATCTTTTTAATATGTCAAAAATTTTAAAAGAAAGACTTCCCATCTACAAATTAATAATTAATTACATTATTACTTACGGAGTTTTAAATGCAACATATATAACGAGTTCATTTCTTCCTCTAATAGTTCTTTCTAGAACGTCTGTGGCAGCAACTGAAATTATAATGGATGCATTAATATATATAAAAAAGAGGATAATAAGTAAATGTTTCGATGAAAAATCTAAAAAGTTATTTACAAATTTCATTGAAATAAAATGGAACAGGCCCAGGAATATAACAACTTAGACGAGTTTTGAGAAATGACGTCCACATCTTTACATGTCCAGAATACGCATAGCCTCTATCATTTGTACAAACTCTGGCTATTCTAGAATATTTTTTCTAAGAATAGAAATTTATTAAGAATAATAAGAATAAGAATGTGAATATTTCAATATAATAACGAAAAATTAAACCTTTTTATAATCGATATCTTCGATAGCTTTTTCCTTAAATAAAAAATACACGAATTTTCCGTGGTAAAAGGAAGCTATAAACTCTGGCTCTGTTTAAAAAGACAGTTTAAAAAAAGAAGAAGTTTTATTACTTCAGAAAAATTCAATTGTTACCATTAAGCTGATGATAATTTCCAATTTTTGTCCTAACGGGTCTTCTGTAAATTAAAGGATCGTCACCAGAGAATTGTCCAAAAGTTGCAGCATATAATTCTCCATCTAAATATTATGATAAAATTTTTAATAGGAAAAAAATAAATTTGAAATAAAAAGACATCTTACATACTAATAAACTTAGCAGTGCTTGGGTAATAAGGACTATAAGGACACAATCCTTCTCCAGAAAATTCTTCTATTACTTCGTAATTGGAAAGCTACAATTAAAAAAATTTTCAAGTTAAATTTTCATTTATGCGATCTTCAAAACACTTCACAAGTTTATATTTCCAGTTGAATAAATTGGCGTCTAGTAGGACGATGGTTATGCCCGTACGTCTTACGTCTAGGATTCACCAATCCAGAAAAAAACTGCGGGTAACCCACACACCACTATCGAAGATTTAAAATTCACACCTTCGACCAGACATCATATTACAAACAGCAGAAAGAACCTGAATTGAAAATAAAACGTCTTTGATAATACTAACCTTTTCTTGGTATTTTCTGCATAATGGTCGAAATGCATTTGTACCACAAACGAGAACGGTGTCCATCGAAGTTTCTGCATAAATTAGCAAGTAATTTTGGCATTCTTCCTGTAAAAAATAAGGGTGGTTTTTTATTTTTTGAAATATTTCAGAATTATATATAAAATTCATAGAAGAAAAATAGATGATTTTGAAATGATGAGTAACTAACGGGATAAAAAAAGGGACTTTTTGCAAAGTCCTTTTTACAATTGAGCACAAGTTTTATATATACTTAAGGAATTTATGAATGACGAAAATCGTTTTATTTCTTATAAGAAAGTTACCTCCAATCTTCCCTTTATTAAACATGCTTGTCTCTCATTTTCGGAGCTAAACCATTGTAAACTCTAAAGTTAAAAGAAAAAATATAATTTACTTTGGCAAGATTAAAAACGAGGGAGGAAATACCTTGAGAATTAAGTTGTTTACCTTTTCTACTTTTAGATCTTTAACACTAATTTTAAAAATGCCGTTCCTGTTACGATTAAGATTTTTCTTTTATTAAATCTGTTTAAATTTTAACTAAAGATTTTCCACTCTTACCTTCCACCTATAACAACTTTTCCATCTTCCCGTAGTAAAATCGTCAGATCTTTTAACTTATTTTCTGTCCCCATAAACTTTTCAGGATTTTCTAAATTAAAAAAAAAAAAAATTATAAGTTGTATTACATGTAATGGTTTAAAGTTCGGCTTACGTAAACCTAATTCCAAGAGTTTTAAGATTGTAATTACCTGTAAAAACGATAAAATTTGCTTCGATAGGCTGTAAAAATAAGCCTTCTACAGACAGTAGTAGTAGTAGTAAAACGAGCATTATAAAACAGTTGATGTCCACAAACTCTATTTAAAAGAAACTACCCGAAGAAAAATTTAAAACACCTTTGAGGTCAATTAAAAAGAAAAAAAAACTGCTGTAAAAAGAAATTTATAAAATGGTTACTTTGAATTGAAGTTATTTTTATGTAGGCAATACGGAAAAATTGAAGACTACAGATATATTACACAGTGTAATATTGTATAATCTCCGATCTGAAAGTTGCTTGATGATAACATGCTTTTTTAGATTTAATGTTTTCGTATAAAAAATAAAAATTAATTATTTTTTTTTGTTCATTAGAAAAAAAAAATACTTAAAAATACCGGGGAGGGGGAAATAACACAGAGCAAATTATATATATAAAGCATTTAAATAAAACATACCAGAAATATTTATTTATATAAAATTTGATATAAAATGTAAATTTTTACTTTGAAAAACAATTCTTTATGAAGTAAATTTAAAAAGAAGTTATTTACTTGAGAGCATTAAATCAGGAAAACATTAAGAAAAAATCTTTTTAAACAAAGTATCACTTTGATTTTAACACGAAAGCTTTCAATTTCTATTACTACTTCAGTTCTAAATATTAAGATTATTCTAATAAAAACACCCTTTTATGAAAATAAATACATTTAAAACATTGTATTCTTATGCCAAAAACCCAGAAATAATTTATATTTATCCTATTTTTGCTCACCTCGAGTTCTGTTTAGTAGAAATGGCTAAAANAAAAGAAATTTATAAAATGGTTACTTTGAATTGAAGTTATTTTTATGTAGGCAATACGGAAAAATTGAAGACTACAGATATATTACACAGTGTAATATTGTATAATCTCCGATCTGAAAGTTGCTTGATGATAACATGCTTTTTTAGATTTAATGTTTTCGTATAAAAAATAAAAATTAATTATTTTTTTTTGTTCATTAGAAAAAAAAAATACTTAAAAATACCGGGGAGGGGGAAATAACACAGAGCAAATTATATATATAAAGCATTTAAATAAAACATACCAGAAATATTTATTTATATAAAATTTGATATAAAATGTAAATTTTTACTTTGAAAAACAATTCTTTATGAAGTAAATTTAAAAAGAAGTTATTTACTTGAGAGCATTAAATCAGGAAAACATTAAGAAAAAATCTTTTTAAACAAAGTATCACTTTGATTTTAACACGAAAGCTTTCAATTTCTATTACTACTTCAGTTCTAAATATTAAGATTATTCTAATAAAAACACCCTTTTATGAAAATAAATACATTTAAAACATTGTATTCTTATGCCAAAAACCCAGAAATAATTTATATTTATCCTATCATTATTGACTGCTCTAGTGCACAAAAATTTTTTTTTATCATTAATAAAACAGTTATTCGATAATTTTTATTTAGCAACGAATTAATTCATAAAATCACGAAGAGAAAATATATTTCTTAGATTCTATCTCAAACATATTAATAAATTAATATTACGAATAGACATTACCTTTACAATGACGCATACATTCTTGTCGACATCACTGATAGCACCACGTGTCTTGGTTTTAATCCCTGGCCAGAATTTACATAAAGTCAAACACGTGTTCAAAATTGGTATTTAAACGCCAATTTCTTTTATAATAATATAATTTTTATATTTTTTTTATAATTAAAAATTATATCAATAATACTTTTGATATTATTAATACAATAATTTCAAAATATAATTTTTCTCGGATTTTCTCATGCTGAGATTAAAGGTATTATGATAAAATAGGGATTGAAATCATCTAGATTTCTTTCAATAATAATTATAATTATTAATTTACGATCATAATAAACCTTAAGTGGGAAAAATTTAATTATATATTCTATTTTAAGCAGTTTTTAAACACATAAATTGTCGTATTAATGTTACGAATATTTTTATACATTAAATTAATATAATATAATAAAAGAATTAATAATATTAAAAATGTAGCTAATTAATAAAGCTTACTTTTTATTGAATTAATATTATTCTGAAAGATACACAATTTCTGTTCAATAAGCAATTTAGTTTCAAGTGTTTTATGGTCTACACGGTGTATTTTCTTTTAGCTTTGCTGAAACCATTCTATTTAAATTTATATAGTTTTCCTACTGATGTACTGTACATAAATAATATTAATTTATTGACTATCTCATCGTATTATTAAGTTTAAAAAATACAGTACGATAAAACTAGAAAAAATATAAATATAAAATTTATGTTTGTTTTAAGTTATTCAAAGAATAATTCATTTTATTTTTTTCGTCGCTGTTGTATATAACAGAGGAAAAGTATGGCGATCAGTCAAAAAAAATGACCCCAAATATATTTACATGTTTAGACTCAGGGTACCTCGAAACGTCGAGAAATATAAAAAAAATTGGGGTTTTTTTCTGTATGTATGAATGTTAGTCTGTGGGGAGTATGATTTTGTCCACACTTTTTGAAGCTTAATAACACCTGTGCTTTTTGTCGAAAATTTCTGAAATTTTGCCGGAAGGTTTGTGTGTTAGAGGGTTTAATCCTGTTAAATTTTGGTGGTTAAAGGTAGAGGGGGTGAGGAGATAGAGGGGTCGTGTGTCATATCTCGAATAGGGTCGGACTTAATGACGATTTCATTCGTTATTAATATTTATAATTTTCTTTTATTATAAAACTTGTCTCTACTTTCAAAATTAAGCTTTTTGCCATTTTATAATAATCAATTATCAAAAAGTTTTAAAATAAAATATCATAACAGATGGCAGAACACACACAATTTCAAATGTTGTAGGGAAAGTTAAGCAACTTGTCGCTGGTTTATAAAAAATTGCAAATTTAACCTTAGTTCTACAGTGTTACTTTTTCTCCCTTTAGTAACATTTCAACAAAGTTTACACAGTTTAAGTAAAAGTTTTTGTTTTAAATTTTTCTCATCATTTCTAAAGGATTATAACTAGTATTTAAATATTAATATTTATATAATCCAATATTAAGCATATTTCAAAACAAAATGCTGTAAGTCAGATAAAACTCTAATTAAATAATATGTAATTATTTTTATAATTACGAAAATCCTATTATAATAAATATAAATTTCTCGTAATTAAGGAAAGTTATATAAAAATTTAAATATAATTGTACGAGAAATGTAACGAGTTTGATTACAAGAAGTTCTTTTGAGTTAATACATTTATTTCGAATTCCAATATTTAAACTTGAGTTTTATTTCTAAAATTCATTAATGCTTTAACTTCGAAATTAGTAGTTTAAAGGTAAATTTTTTCCCTCTTACATCTTGAATATATCATGAATTGAATGTAAAGACCTGTTTAGTTGGATTATAATTTCCAAAGTCTTCTTATTGGTTTAAATGTCAAAATACTGAGGGAACAGCGTTTGCAAATGACATCAATTCTAATCAGTTTAACTTCGTACATTTATGCGTACAAAAAGGCTCGTTGGGAAGTGTACAAACTATAATAATATCAACTAAATTGGATAACTCTTATAGTTCGTTAAGATTTATGCAAAGTGACATACAGTAAATAGTTTTTTAGCTTTTCGTTTGTATGTATATAAGAGATCATTATCAGCCACAGATATCAGATGGCAAAATCGGACTTTCAACTCCCAGTGATACAAGGTCTGTTCAAAAAGTATCGGACCTTTGGTCGGCAAAAATAAATTTATTGATTTTGATGTACAAAACCCTAATCCCCTTCAAAGTAGTCTCCTTGTAAATGTCTAAATAGGACCTACGAATTAAATCTTTTCTGGTGTCTTCAATCTCAGGATAAAGTCGGAATGAAAGACTGTTTATGGCAACACAAGTTCAAATATGTGGCAAAAAACAGAAAAATCTTAAAGTTTATTTAATTAAATATAAATTCAAAGAAGTTTTTTAAAGAGCAATTTTCTAGAAAAGGAAATATAAATATGTTTTCTTAGAATGAATATCAAATGGAGATTTATAAAATAAAAAATCCTGTAATCTGATATTTACACGGTGTTAAATTAAAAACTAAATATTTAAATATATTATATTATAAATATTTTAAATAATCCGAATTTATATAATTATACATTTATTTACTTCATGTTTCTCGTTTCATTGTTTTTATTAGATCCATAGAGAGGTATGAAATTTAATTTCCGGTTTCATCAGACAATTCTTCATTCAAATTCAATTACAAACTGTTATTTCTTTTAAATAAATGTTTAACTGTAAGTATACAATAGTTATCTATTTTAATTTATAAGATAAATTAGATATATTCGTAGGCAAATGTTAACATTCTCTGCTAAATTGTTATATACATATAAAACCTTTACAATTAATTAAGATAGCAACTTTATGTAAAGATATTACGAAATTAAGAAAATTAACATATACAATATATCTTAAATTAATTACGATCTTTCCTTATTATATTATTTAAATATAAAATATGCAAATGTACACGAGATAGTCTGAAGTTCTATATAGCATAATATCTCTATTGTAACATAAAGAATAACACTTTAGTCCGGTATTTCCTAATATACAGAGTAAAATTTTGTTATACGGTTGTACACTACAGTATTTGATAAAAACATACACAAACCAGGATATTCAC